TTAGGCTAGCCCAAGGCTCACTGCACAGCCAGTCTAACCCAGGGCTCACTGCACAGCTAGTCTAGCCCAGGGCTCACTGCACAGCCAGTCTAACCCAGGACTCACTGCACAGCCAGTCTAGCCCAGGGCTCACTGCACAGCTAGTCTAGCCTAACCGCCAAGTCACAAATTCAGCAAGAGAATCTCATCTCAAAAACAAGGAGAATAATTGAGAAAGATACCCAATATTGACCTCTGGCCTACACACACACACACACACACACACACACACACACTCACACCTGTACACATATACATGAATATGTCACACAAAAGAAATTTAAGAATTCATATCATATGAATGCCATGGAACTTTTTGAATGTTTTGATAGAGGAACTCACTCTAGCCCAGGCTGGCCTTGAACACACTCTGTAAGTAAGGTTGGTCTTGAACTCAATACAAAATTTAGTCTGGCCTCAAATTAACAATCCTGCTTCATCCTTCATATGCTGGGATTATAGGCACACAGAACCATGCCTAGCTCATATTCTTGTAACGTAGTTGATCTTTCTTGCCTTTTTGTTTGAAGAAAGATTTCACTCCACTCAGATTGTCTTAGAGTCTGTTGACAGTAATTGTGTACTGTATACCTCAAAAAGTTAGGGCACAGTCAACAAGACAAAACGACAGTCTTCAGAATGGGAAAAGATCTTCACTAACCCCACATCAGACAGAGGTCTGATCTCCAAAATATACAAAGAACTCAAGAAATTGGACACCAAAGATCACATAATCCAATAAAAAAATGGAGTACAGACCTAAACAGAGAACTCTCAGCATGGGAATCTAAAATGGCTGAAAGACACTTAAGGAAATGTTCAACATCCTTAGTCATCGGAGAAATGCAAATCAAAACAACTCTGAGATTCCATCTTACACCTGTAAAAATGGCCAAGATCAAAAACACTGATGACAACTTATGCTGGAGAGGTTGTGGGGAAAAGGGAACACTTTTGCATTGCTGGTGGGACGCAAGCTGAAACAACCCCTTTGGATGTCAGTGTGGCGATTTCTCAGAAAACTAGGAAACAATCTTCCTCAAAACCCAATAATACCATTTTTGGGTATATATCCAAAAGATGCTCAATTGTGCCACAAGGACACTTGCTTAAATAGGTTCATAGCAGCTTTGTATGTCATAACCAGAACCTGGAAACAACCTAAGTGCCCCTTGATTGTAGAATGGATAAGGAAAATGTGGTACATTTACACAGTGGAGTACTACATAACAGAAAAAAATAACAACATCTTGAATTTATCAGGAAAATGAATGGAGCTAGAAAACATTATTTTGAGTGAGGTAACGCAGACACAGAAAGACAAATATCACATGTACTCACTCATAGGTGGTTTTTAAACATAAAGCAAAGAAAACCAGCCTACAAAACACAATCCCAGAGAACTTAGACAACAATGCAGATACTAAGAGAGACTTACATAGATAAAATCTACATGGGAAGTAGAAAGTATAAAAGACAAGATGTCCTGAGTAAATTGGGAGTATGGGGACCTCGGGGGAGGGTTGGATTGGGGAGGGGAACGGAGAGGCAGGGAGGGGAGCAGAGAAAAATGTAGAGCTCAATAAATATCAATAAAAAAATTAAAAAGTTAGAAGAAAGGATTTTGGATGGTTTTGCCACTAAGAAGTGAGAAATATATAATTTCTCAACCAAGTGCACAAAGTAAACACGTACTGAAATACTGTTTTGTTTCTTATTAATACATGCATTAATAATATATTAATGGAAAGTATACTTATTTTTAAAGAATACACTAACAAACATTGAAGAGCAAGCATGCACAGTGTACCCTGACTACTGTGGCTTGGAAAGGGGAAGAAAGGTAAAGGATTACATGTGTGATCCTCTACCCAATCAGCGTCTACATTCCCGGGTACAGGCCCAGCGAACTGAAGCGGTGAGCAGACAGGGATGTGTTCCTTCACCACTGATAGCTTCCATCCTGCATTCCCACAAGCTGTCTGCACACTTAGAGTAACACCGGGAAGAAATGGCTGGTTCGGTGGGATGCAGACATGGAGTATTCAGCAAATATGAAAACAGGATCCATGTGGATCTCTAGATCAGAAGTGAGTTTTCTAGATTAAAAACTGGAGCTTGTCTGGGAACTCAGGTCACAGCCCGTGGTTGTTGCGCATCTACTATGCTGGGCTGGGCCTGGTGAGCAGACACCATGAAAGGACAGGGGCTCCTAACTAGCAATGGCAAGAGATGGATATTTAAGCTTATAATACTAAGCCAGAATGGCTGAGAGCAGAAAGGGAAAGAAGAGAGACGTGACACTGGAGAGTCTGCAGGAGACATAAAAATGGAGGCCAGGGATGGAAGAAGGCTTTAGGAGTGGGTGTGAAACAGACCCTGCCTGAAAACAGCCACGGCCTCAAGAGATGCTCAGATGTTGAGGAAGTGCTACCCAAGGACACTTTAGGGTGAGTATCCCTGAGACTCAGGAATTCCTCATTAACTACAAAGGGACATGCGCAGTAGGGCAGGTAAAGAAGAGAAAAAGCCACCCTGGGAAGAGAGGTAGCATTGTGGGTAAAGAGATGCCCACTAAGCTGTCTGTTAAATATGAGTAAAAAGGCAAGGGGTCAGGAGAGTGGGTCCAGGACTTCTGACAAGGGAACAGTCTGGTGGATTCAAAGGCTGTCAGCAAGCAAAGTCTCCCCAGGACTGTGGGAACCTATAACCCATCTGGTTGACTGCAGGTCTGATCGCTTCTACAGTGATCCAGGAAACAGGCAAAGGGCAGCAGTAGGGCTGAGCAGAATTTACCCGAGTTTACATGTGCATTCTCAGCCCTGCTCTGCCCTCCAGAAGCAGGACACACTGTGTCTGTGGTTACAGCGGGGAAATCAGCATCTCCGGAAAACTAGATGCCCGTCAAGGCGGAGCATGGTTGTATCTGAAATCACAGCAGCATGACTGATATTCCAGTTGTGTTTTGCCTTCTGTGGTGCAAATGCCATTGACATTTTATGCTATCATATTTTTCATCACCGAGATATAATCCTGGAAGTTGTATTTTGGGCATTCATATCATCAATACAGAATGCTTTGATAAAATTTTCCTAGATAGCCATTATGGCCTAGGCATGTTATCCCAGTGTTTGGGAGGAGAAGGCAGGATGAATGCTGTGGATCAAGGCCAAGCAGAGGTATACAGTCTGAGTGTGCATGAGCCCAGTCACTAAACAAATAAAAACTAAAAATCTAAGCTATACCACTCCTGGGTATACAGCTGAAGGACTCTGAGGCAACACACCATAGAGTTAACTGCATGCCTGCTTATTGCCATACGAGTCATTGCAGGTTACAGAGTCAGCCACCATGCCTGCGGATGAATGGATAAAGTGTGGTATATATACACAGCAGAGTTGTATTCCATAATAAACAACAAAACTGTGTATAGCCATTCTGGTGACATTTTCTGTTGCTCTGGTAAACCATTAACCAAAAACAACTTGAAAAAGAAAGGGTTTATTTCAGCTTACAGGCTGGATACAATCAAGAGGACACCGAGGAAGAACTCAAGTCTGAACTTGCAGGCAGAAATGGAAGCAGAGTCCATGGAGGAATGCTGTTTTTACTGGCATGGTCCCCAGGATTACTCAGTCCACCTGCCCAGGGTTGGTACCGCCCACAGTGCGCTGGGCTCTCCTCAATCAGCAGTCAAGACAAAGCCCCACAGGCTTGCCTGTGGCCAATCTGCTGGAGGCATTTCCTTAGTGAGATCCCTTTCCCAGATGACTCTAGCTTGTGCCAAGTTGGGAGAAAACTAAGCAGCATGCTACTCATTGACCCCGCTTGCACACACAGGTCACCTTGCTCTCATTTGCACGGGAGCCTCTTTGTCTCCCTTTCTGTCTCAGTCTGTCTGTCTCTCTCTCTCTCTCACCCACACACAGAGCCTCTGCCAGGGTCCTGCTTCTCCATCCCTTCTCTTCTCCTCTTTCTGTGTGGAGTGTGTTGATGTGTGAAACATCTTATCTGTGGAAACCCACTAGAGTGTAGGCATTTTGAGATCAAAGATCCTTCAACTTCATGCTTTGTCTGTATCACGCTCAAGGCTGACTGGTCACAGACTGAGGGTGCACATTCTTGGTTACACCCTCGGGTTATTGACTCTCAGCAAATTCTTATCAAAATTGAACTACAGCCTGCCAAAGTTACTTTACAGATCTAGAAGAGCAAAATTCCATGAGATATTTGTCTTAGTTATCTTAATTACAGTGGTCATTTCAGTGCCATGAGGATATATGGAACTTATAGGACTTGGTACTTTCATTGCTTTCTTCACTTTCAACCTCATCTGTCTCCCTGGCCTGACTGATGGCCGTCTCCTTCTTTGGTCATCGAGAGCGAATGTGAAGTCAGCTCGGTTGTGCATTTTCCCAGCTCCATGAGGAAGGCTGCATCAAGATCATCCTGGTTTGTCCTTCAGTGACTTTATCTACTTGAAGAAGGGAAGTGGCTAAAGTGAACCATGCTAGTTTGAGAAAAAGAGTTGCACGAAGTCAAAAGGAATGCTCTTTATTTGTAACAAATGCATGCATACAGAAGATTTATGCAAATTGAACTTTGTGTTGAATTATTGATGCCACACAAAATGCCCCAACAGATTTGTCCCAGAATGTTTACATAGGCTCATAATACACTAGGACATAAAAAATCAGAGTTCAGTAGAACTCAGCAAACCCACCTCCTGCTGTGAGCTCAGCATTAAGAGCTATAGATAGTACAGTTTTGATTTCCCAGCAAGCCTTCCGTAAGAGTGCACAACAGAAGTAAACTGTGCTGAGACCTGTGGGAAAACACTGAAGTTAAGTTCACACAGCCTTCCTTACGGTGCCCTCTAGTAAAGGCACAGGGTAATACACCTTACAGAAAGCTGCAGATCCTGGATTAGTGTTGGGCATGAGTTGGAAGAGAGCATGCATACTCTAAATACTATAATCATAAGCATGGACATATTCAAAGGAAAGTTCAGTCTCTAAATTGAAAAATTAGAAAAATTTATAATTTAATTGAGATGACATTAAGACAATCCGGGCATGCCCAGTGATGTTCATCTGAAGGACTATCATTCATATTCATCAGTGTGCGATAGGATCCTACTATTAGGTATTCCAAGCTTGGCAGGATGGTGTCTGTTTTTATTCTGATATGACTCAATCCTTCACCCCTTTTCCACATCAGCACAGTTCATGGTGGATTTACAATAACAACGCCATTCTGAGCAGGAACTACTCCAGGCCTTTCTGAACACACTGGAAATGGCTACAGAGTTCAGCTAATGGAGAATTTTATGGCTCCTTTTATTAATAATTCTCTACTGTCACCAAACGCGTTGATAATAGTCTCTCACGAGTGCCACTTTTGACACGTTCTTGAAGTATGTGTTTCTCACGGGAATGAAGACCTGCTTTCCACCACGGTAGAATATTTACACGTTTTCTAGGCGTTGCTCTGCAAAGCTGGGAAATCCGCTTCATTTCCCATCTGAATTCGTATACTCCTTCAGGCATCTGCCCACATCGCTGTGTTTCATCTTCTCTGTGAACAGTTCATCAAAGGCACTCCTCTGCTTTGGAGTGAAGTAGTTTATCCAATCACCCACCACTCCTGGAAACACAAGAAATCTATCAGGCAGGAAGCTCACAGAGGAGACCTGTCAGCTTTGCAGTCACACGGGAAAGCACTTGGTATCTCCTGGTGAGATGATGGGGGACCATTTTTCACTTGCTTTTTTGGTGTTTCTAGTGATGACTGTGATGGTTGCATATTAATTTCTACAGTTTATAATTACTTGTTTAAAGAAAGATTTAAAATATATGTTATAGGAGGTCACTTATTCATTTCCTGACTGCCCAGACTCCTGAAATAATCACACAGAAACTATATTATTTGCAATATTGTTTGGCCAATAGCTTAACCATATTTCTAGCTAGCTCTTATATCTAGAATTAACCTATTTCCGTTATTTTATGTTTTACCCCGAGACTTGTGGCCTACCAGCAAGGTTCCAGCCAGCAGCTGGCGTCTTTCTCCTTTGGCGGCTCCATGGCCTCTCTTTGACTCCTACTCTCTTTATCTATCTTTTTTGGCCTTGCTACACTCTGTTAAGCCATTAGCCAAAAGCAGCTTCTTTATTCATTAACCAATAAAAGCAACACATATACAGAAGGACTTTCCACACCTTTCCCCCTTTTCTGTTTAAATAAAAAGAAAGGTTTTAACTTTAACATAGTAAAATTACACATAACAAGTATCAAGCAAGAATTATAGTTACAATATTTATGTCTATTTTATCTTTTATCATAACTAAGGAAAACTATAACTATCTATTCTTCAACTCTATCAAAGACTCCAGAAGGATATAATATTACCTAAGTAAACCGGAAGTACATTGTAAGTGACTTCCAAAACTCTAGAATTGACAGAGACATCTCGCTGCCTGTGAATAGCATCCATTAATAAAGAAACTGTCTTAGGCCTGTGCAAGACAGAACTTAGGTCGATGGGGGAAACTAAACTGAATGCTGCGAGAAGGAAGGGGGAGTCAGGAGAAGCCATGTAGCCATACGCCGGTGACAAATGCTGGAACTTTACCCAGTAAACCACAGCCACTTGGTGATACACAGATTAATAGAAATGGGTTAAATTAAGATGTAAGAGTTAGCCAATAAGAAGCTAGAGCTAATGGGCCAAGCAGTGATTTAATTAATACATTTTCTGTGTGGTTATTTTGGGTGTGAGCTGATGGGTAGTGGAGAAACAAACAAGCAGCTTCTTATTACATATATGGATGTGTTTTTGTTGGAGTAGCCAAGAACAATCAAGTTTAAATGGACTGAAGCCTAAGTGCGGCAGTAAGCACAGCGCAAGTTCCCGTGTTCACCTCCTTGGGTCTTACACAGAGGAGGCTGGGCTGGGAAGCACTACAGAGATGGGGATCTCACCATAGTTTTAGAAACCCTTTCCATAAAATTAACAGTGAAGAACTGGGCACATAAACACCAGTTTTCAATACAGAATGTTTGGTGTTAAGTGTACATAGTCTGCTAGCCTCTCCTAATTTGAAAAGCCGTGTTTCTCGAGCCCTCAGAACTGAATTTCTCACTTCTATTATGCTCCTTTGTCAAACTTGGAGCTCGGGTTCCATCCCTGGGGTCTCCTTGTCTTAGGGCGAAGGGCACATTAATTTATCTCTGAGCTTGTTCTCTGTGATCTTCTGTTTCCAAGGTTCACAAGGTTTTGGCTTGTAAACCTTTTCAAACAGGGGACTGTAATGTATGCTGTGTGTATAACCGAGAGAGAGGCATCTTACATCATGTGCTAAGAAAACACATGGCTGGATTGCAAGCCGGACAATGTCACCAACAGAAAAGAAGTGCATTGTATTCTAGGAATAGCTTTATTTTTCACAGTTTGTGTATTTTGCTAAAAAAACACTGATATTATATGATTTGCTTTTTTAGACAGGGTCATTATGTAGTTCAGGTTGGCTTGGGACACATATATTATATGGATCAGGCTGGCCCCAGATCTGCCTACCTGTGCCTCTAGAATGCTGGGATTAAAGATGCTCACATGATCTTCATATGAGCCCAGTTCATATGAAAAACTAATATACAAAGATGATATTAAAAGAGACAGCAAGAATCTGAATGCAGAAAACTATGACCTGTGGACTGAAACCTGCTAGCCATATGTTTTGGGGTTGTTTTAAAGATTTATTCATTTTATGTGTAAAGTGTTTTACATTGGTGCATGTGTTCAGTAGGAGCTGGTCTTTGTGTTTATAGCCAGCACATGGTGGTACTCAGGTGCTGTTAGTTACAGGTAGTGGTTTCAGGTGGAGTTTCATCTAGGGATGTTTGCAGGGGTCACAATTGTGGTAGGTTGGAGCATGGGGGTAGGTGGACAGCCAACACAGGAGTGTCTCATGTTTATGGGGTGAGATTTGAGAACAGTGATTGCTTTGTTAACAGGACTCTCAAAGGGTGATGTAATACAAACATCACTATGAGGGCTCAGAGTGCCCTTCTTTCTTGCTCTTGTATTTACGCAGCCTCTCCCAATCTTTTCCTTTCTCCTCTTTGCTCTTTTTGACTCCTCTGACCTCTCTTTGTTCTCTCTTCATCTCCTCTCCAGAATCCCCCCTGACCTTTTCCAGACCTTTTCAAGTACCATGTTGTCTTTCTGCCCTACATTCTCACAGCTCATGCAGGCCAGCCATAGGTCTCTTCCTTCTCTCTGGACCACCCTTCCCATCCTCACTGTGGAAACTGCCTAGAGCTCATGATCCACGGACAGGTTCCCATGTGTGGTCCCGGCTTTCCGTCTAATTCTGGCCCGTGTCTTTTCTTGGCTCCCCTTGGGCTGCTTCATTCTCTTGGTATTAAGGTCCCTGAGATCCACCTTCTGCCCCTTGTGCTATCCACTCTTGGTTCCCTCCCAGATGACTCTGCCTCATTCCACAACCTGCCAGTGGCCCCCTGACTGACTTCTTGATTAAACCACACAAGCAGGACTCCTGTCACTGACCCAGGGTGGCCCATGTTTCCCACCTAAACAGCTCATCAGCGTCTTGCTCAGTTCCTCTGCCTCCCTTTCACACTTCTCATCACATTTACAGCCTTCTCTACCACTCTGTGCCCCACTGGCCTGTTTGTGTGGTTCCTTCTTCAACCAGAAAACAAGAGGTTAGGGAAAGGCGAGGAGAGGGAAGAGGGGGGAAGAGTAGGGAAGGAGAGGAGAGGGCAGAGAGGGGAGACGAGGAATGGGGAAGAGGAGAGACGGAAGAGAGACACAGCTTCTTCTAGCGTGGACTCTGACCCCCTCTCTGCCATTGGCTCCCCTGGAGAGCATTCCTCTCCCACCATTTTCATAACCATTTCTCAAACTTTCAGTCCTGGATCTGCAGAAGTATGATCCTGCCCACACACCCCCTCCCCTTTTATACTGAGTAAAGTTGCAGCACTGTGATTGATGTAACAAAGAGCTGAAGGGCCAATAGCTAGGCAGAAAGAGGTTAGGCAGGACTTCTGGGGACAGAGAGGATGAAAGGCAGAGTTGCCAGCCAGATGCAGAGGAAGCAGGATGTGGAAAGGTAACTGAGCCATGTAAAAGAATGTTGGATAATAGATAGGGGTTAATGTAAATTATAAGGAACAAGCCTAAGCTATAGGCCAAGGTTTCATAGTTAAGAAGAAGTCTCTGTGTGGTGATTTGTGAGCTGGTTTGGGGACAGAGACTCCCCCACACAATCCTGCTCACTGTGGCTCAGGCTGTTAGCAGTGTGCATTTTTGTCTAGAATAAGAACTTTTGGAGAAGTGATGCTGTGTTTTATTCAACAGTTGTGTATTAGTTCGAGAATTAATAGCTTATTAATATTTACTGAGTTGAATGCTTGGCTCCTTTCTAAGCCTTGGTTCTGTGACTCTGCATAAATAAGGCTGAATTACAATAGAAAATTTGCACAGTTGAGATAATATCTGTCTTACAATGAGTTGGCAAGTATTTCCTGTGGGGGATTATATTTGGCTGCGTGAAAGGAGGCGAAGAAACATTTGCTCTCTGGTAGGAATCGTTCATGCAACTGTGCATACAAATCTTTGCCTTTATAATTTTTAGACCATTTCTCCTACGTCTGGATAAAAATTCACACACTTCAACGTACTTATAGGGGCTGTAGAGACTGCTCAGAAGTTGAGAGGCTACTTTCACAGAGGACCTGAGTTCAGTTCCCAGTAACCCACAACCATCTAACTCCACTTTTAGGGGACTCAAATGCCCCCTTCTGGCATTCTTGGGTATTGCACCTATGCTGTTACACATACATTTTGGGGGGGAAAGAAGATATATTCACTACTTGCTTCTGACTTGGGCCTGGAAAATCACTGTGGGAGAGTAATTCCTTTCCTTATGTCTCTATGCACATAAGCAATGTGAGGTCCATTGTGAAGACACGGCAAGCACAAAGTCAATGAGAACTTTAACACAATCACTGCCATCCTTGTGTACACAGAGAAGATTGGTTCCAGGATGCTGTGGAGTGATCCTCTTGTACACTGTGAAAATGTGTCGCTGTCATCGTTAATAAAATGCTGACTGCCTGATATCTAGGCAGGATTTCAGGACAGAGAGAATGCTGGGAAGAAGGGTGGAGGCAGAGGAACCACAAGTCAAACAAAAAGGAAGCAAGAGATGAGCATGCTGTACTGAGAAAAGGTACCACCGTGTGGCAGAGGATAGATAAAAATACATGGGTTAATTTTAAAGATTTTAGCTAGCCACAAGCCTGAGCTATCGGCTGAGCATTTACAATTAATAGTTTCTGAGTGGTTTTTAGGAGAAAGGTGCTGGGACACAGAGAAACTTCACCTACTCCAGAATTCTCTGTCACCAACATTCTGAGATGCACAGCTTATATAAAATAGCATCTAAGCTCTGCGTGCATAAAACCTGCATATAGCCTACGAAAGCTTCCCGTTATCGCTCATCATCTCTACATTACTCAGTACAATCTCAATGTCGGTACATAGTAGTTCCTTGCTACTGTTTTGGAAACAGTGAAAACAAAATGAGTCTGCACATAGTCAAGTAGCTCCGGTCTTCGTGGCTGACTGCCAGATGAGGAAAGAGCGCAGAAACCAAAAGCCAAGTGCGCTCCCCAGTGGGAGGCGCAGATGGAGCCATCTCCTCCTCGCTTACCTTTCCTGAACACCAGGTTCCTGTCGGACGTCAGGGCGCAGATGGTGTGATTGGGGTCGCAGTTTTCTTTCACCGCGTTACTCTTCATCTCGCTGAACGAGGTATTCCGCGCAATCTGACTAATATCGCTGTCGTTCACGTCAAAGCCAAGGAAATCAGTTATTTTATTTAGACTCTTAACAAAGTCCTGAGCAACAGGAAAATTAAAGAAAGTAAGTACGCCTCTTATCTACTTACCAAATCCATTCCTTAAGCAAAATTTACTAATTGCTCTTTTGTGGCAGGGTTCCCCCATGTCGCCCCGGCTGTCCTGGAGCTCGCTCTGTAGACCAGGCTGGCTTCAAGCTCACAGAGACCCTCCTGCTTCTGCCTCCTGAGTGCTGGGATGAAAGGCTTGCGCCACCACCCTCGTTTCTCCTCCCCTGACTTTGAATTTAGTTTGGTTTCAGCCTAGGTTGATGTGAAAGACTTACTTTCTTCATTTCTTCATAGAATAAAAAGAGGACGTTTTTATCATTTTTGTGTTTCTCCCAGCTCAACACGTGATCAAACCAGGAGCCGTACACAACTGGAAGAGAAGTACACAGCGGTGTTACTGTTTACAGTGATGGCTTCGCCCACATCTGGCTCCTTCCTAGTCAGCACAGAGGTCAGGAGAGCACTTGCTCATCAGCCTGGGGTGAGATTGCCCAGAAAGGCTCATTTCCTGTTATTTCTGCTGGGTGCGAGTTGTCAGGAGATGCTCATGGCCACATCTTTGCACAATACTCTGGTTATCTTATTCCCTTATTTCTAGTAAATATGTTTATCACCATAAAAAGTAGCAGCAAAGTCAAAACATATGTCTTTCTCAATATTTATATTCTGAACTTTTTAAGCTTCTCTAAGGAAACATTTAGTATCAGTCATTTTCTTTCTTTAAAGTGACATTTAAAATCCCAGGCTTTTATCACAAACATTTTGAAGCTTTTCCTTGAGCCATGGTCTCACTGTGTAGCCAAGGGTAATTCCGAGACTCACAGTAATCCTCCTGCCTCAGCCTCTCAAGTACTGATATTATAACCATGAGCTATCATGCCCAGTTTTAAAACTTATTTTTTAAAGGCTCTTACAATAGTTATAGTATCTATTGTCTACAAATTTTAAACCACATTAAAAACATAATAAATTTAAAAATACTCTATTCACTTATTTTAGTTTAAGACTGAACAATTCAGCCTTAAATATTTATATGCAATTGCCATTATGTATTTTGTTGCGAAATGATACCCTTGAAAAATTCTCCAGGTTCAAAAGTAAAATATCCTTCACTGTGATCTTTTCAGCAGTGACGGTCAGAAAGGAAAGCCTGCTTTTGTCTCAGGACATCAGCTCATTGGAACCACGATCCCTAAAGCAGAGGAGGTTTAAATGTGTCCCCATCCACTGTCCAGGTGTCATTATCACCCCAACCTCCAGCTCTGGCTTATGACCTCCGTGTCCCAGCTGTGATAGAATTAAACTCATAAACTACCCACAATGCTCGACGGTTTCAGATTTTGAGGAAACAAAACGCAAATAAATAATCCTGTAAATATACATATTTCTCTTTATTCATTCATTCTCGCAGTAATGAGTTTCCTAGTGACATTTCCATGTACAGTATTATTATTTGCTATTACACACGCACACGCGCACATACACACACACACATACACACACGCACACACACTGAAATCTAGATTCCACATGTGAGAGAAAACGCATGGTGTTTGACCTTCTGAGTCTGACATATTTTGCTGTGTATTTTTAAGCCAGGAAATTCTGGGACTACTGTGACGTCATTATGGAGTTGGCCTTCTCTGGCATCCCCAGGTAGACAGACAGTAAACTCTTCAAAGAGTTGCCTCGCTTTTCCTTAGCAGTGCTTCCGGCTGATTTGCAGTCTTGTCCAATCTTATCTCAGAATCGCCCAATGTCCACAGCAGCAGTGGAGAACTGGTTCTCTAAGAACGGCCACCCTTTCCCGAGACTCAAATACCTGTAGAAGCCTTTTCTCTCCTCCAGCCTCAAGGGATGGAGGATGATCTCACACCAGCAGGGTCTCAGCCCAAGGTCAACCTCCACCCTCTACCTCCTACCAGTACGCACTGCCTAGGCTCCCATAGGATGTCACTGCCCACAACTGTGGATGTGGCGAGAGGCCTTGGGACGGCCAGAGAAGCCTGTGTCCTGCAACCAGGGATAGCAGCCGACTCAGTCCTAACCACTGGTTGAATGTACTCAACCTCACCGGTGCATCAAGGCTCTTTCAGAAAGAAATGAACTGCAGCGAGCCACAGACTGCACTTATGAGGAAATTTCAGAGCTGAACTGATGGTAACTTCAAAGGCAGCTGTTCTGTTGGTCAGAATTGAAACTCTATTCCATGTTTCTCCAAACGGACAGAGGCCAGCTGAAGAAGAGAGAACTGTGTGGGCTTCCTGGCTAGCGCTCTGTGAGAGTCCATTACTACTGTGTGCAGAGGAGTCCTTAAACCGCTTAGACTCTTCAAGTGACAAATGGAGCTGATTTGTAAATCACAGGCCTCAATTTCCAAGTTGTTAATAGAGCTTTGCTGTAAAGAAAATTGAACTTCTAAAGTAAAGCCAAGTCCTCTTCTGAGGGGAACTGCTTTCTGCACACACGTCATATGTCACAGGCTCACCAGGCCTTCTCTCCCCACTCCTGGCTTTAGCTTACACCCAAATTGCCCTCCTCCCCAGAATGCCCGAGGGCAGAGCTCGCCCAGTCTGTGTGTCTGAGAAGTAAGTCAGAAACTTTGCTTGGTAGAAACTTCCAGAACTTCCCCCTCTTCCTATAAAATGAAGGTTTGTTTGAGACATTATGCCCTTTAGATATTGCTCATTTTCCTCCTGATCGCAGCCTTCAATCAACCTGGTCTCTCAGCCAATATCACTAAGGACACTGACCATCTGTCGCAATCATCTCTGTCACCCCTGTCTTGCCAGTGGCTGTAGTGGCTTTACCGGACAGCTCCTACCATTCTCTACCAGCCCTTTCTGTCTTTGATGTCTTCTCCTTGTTGGCTCACTCAACCATCTCCTTAGCAATGGTACCCTGATACCTTAATGCTTATTTCAATAAACTAAAGAAGAAGGAAAAGTCACCCAGTATTAGAGCAAAAAGTTTCATCCTCTCCCTTCTCTCTGGTTGCTGCTAGAGGACTTTCTACAACTCCGAGTTTAGACTCTGGATAAGTGCTTCCAGCCTATGGCTCCACGGCTCCCTCCCACCTACATGCATTACCGTAATGCTCTATTCTCTGCATTAGCTGTTTCTGCCTTCTTCCTGACACCAATTGTCATGCAAGTCTTAGGTTCTAGTTTCTAGAAATTACTCTGAATATACAGCCATTGTATTACAAAGCAAAACTTTCTGCAACAAAAGACCTGGAAATGGACAACCCTAGGACAAGGCTTGGGGGGGAGCTAGACGTGCCAATGTGTTCAGTATTAAGGTGTCAGTTTCATTGCGCTATTAATGTGGCCCGATAGCACCAGAGCAAAATTTAAAGCTATTGTTTAACTTGAAAGCTACTACCCAGAAAGTAAGAGGTAAATTAGATGATTACATAAGCATCTGGCTACATCACTCTACTCTATTGTCTTTATGTAAGTAGGAGCTGAGATCAACCCAGGATATCATGCAACCGTCCTTAGGAAAGAACCTCCCTGGATGCATACCTGCCTCGTGTGAAACCACACGGAAGTCTCCATGTCTAGCAGAAGGGCTGAGTGGACTTCTATGATGGAATGTGGTCCTTTCTTAAGTTGAACCTGAAAGGTCCTTAAAGGTGTACTATTCTGTTAGTCTTCCTCTGTACGTGAAGGATAGATCTCTAAGTAGTTTGGGGGCTTAACCAAAACCACACAGAATGAAGAACAGACAAAAACTGGTTGCCACGCCTTCCACCTCAGTCATCTAGTCTTTCTAAGCATGTGACAGTCTTCAGAGTCCTTCAAACACCCCCTGAAGGTCACAGGCTAACACGCCCATGCACGCATGCGTCTGCACTGCAGCACATGCAATGCTTTCGCTCTCCCTGCTGTTGTCCCGGGATGTTGAGGTTTGTTTACTTCTTTGTTTGTTTTGAGATGGTGTCATGCAGCCCATGCTATACTTGAACTTGCTGTGTATCCCAGGATCATCTCAAACTCCTAATCCCCTGCATCATCCTCTCACTTGCTGGGCTTCTATGCCCGTCCTCTGTCTTACAAATAAGAACAGTAAAGCCATTGCTCACGTCCAAATAAATGTTTTTAAAGCTTTGGTTTTAAAAAGGATTTGTGCAGGACGGAGAGGCCAGATGAAGGATGTTTATAGATAAGAGCCCATTACCACTAAAGATCTGTTCATTCACCCAAAAAGGTGTAGGAGAAATGCCCAGAATGTTTGTCCAACCATTTCCTGCCCTCCTCCGAGATAATCCACTATGATGGTACGGTGGTCACTGGGTGCACATTTCCCCGGCACCAGTTAGCCTTGCTTCATTCTGGCCTGCCCTGGCACTTTTATGACTGTCCACAGAAAACTAACATGTAGAGGAGGAGCAGGGTCACACGGCTACTGCCCGGCCTTCCCTATACCTCACTTGGGCGTATTCCCATTCTGCATGCAGAGTCATAGTGAGGACATGACCAGGTTGGAGCACAGGAAGCATAGATGAGAAGGAGCTACAATGTGCAAAATGGGAACAAAAAAAAATAGTATTTGCCATCTTGAGAAAAAGCAGACTCGGGGTCTGTTCTGAAAAAAAAAAAAAGATGTGTGTTTAGACTTTATTTATTCCAAAGATGGACTGGAGGCAGAGAGAGGCATGCTAACCATCTTTAAATATTTAGAGGATGGTCATGTGGAAGAAGAATTCATGATCAGGTGGCTTTTTAGACTGGACACCTTGTGGCACCACGGTAAGCAGAAAGATTTTGGAATAAACATTAGGTCGTGGCTCTACTCCTCATTTGTTATGTATCTGTCTGTGTTTGAGTTATTTAGCCTCCCAAGTCTGTTATTCCTTGGAGTTATAAAATGAAGATAGCCTCATCTACCACATGAGGTTCTGGTGAGGGTGAAATAAGATAGTATTTACCTAGTACTTAGCTAAGCATCTCCGTCACATGGGAAGCACACAGTAGACAGTAAGGAAGAAAGAATGCATGGCCGGTGTGGGGTTTGTGAGCCAGCGGTCCAGTGTGGCTGGTGTGGGGTTCGTGAGCCTGAGTCCAGTGTTAGGACCCAAGCCTTCACTGCTCCGGAGGCTGTGGGAGCGACACAGAGACGAGGTGTCTGTGGAGTCACGTAAGGTACCTGCCAGTCTTGAGTCATCAGGATTCTGCTAAATGTGCAGCATTTGTCAAGGAGGGAACTATATCTGAAGGATGAGCTAAATGGCACGAGTCCAGCCTGGTCCTCTGTGCCCCCTGCAGGAGTCCCTGAGGATCTCGGGATCAGGCTTCAAGTGCTGAAACTAACTGCTAGCCGCTGAACTCTCTGCCCGCAAAGCTGTGAAATGGAAGCCCTTCTGTGTCCACTTCTGCAGGCAGGATGTGCACGGGGTAGGGTTCAGCGGGTTCAAACAAGCACCTGAAGGAGTCCAGCAGGGATGGGGAGTGGGGGAGATGGGGGAGATTAGGAGACTGAATTTGACCTAACCACATTAATTACAGGTATGAAGTCTCAAACACTAAATTTTTTAAACCTCAAAAAAGTGATATGTAAATAAATTCCTTAACCTAGGCTAAGTAACCCAGAATGGGGTGGGGGTGGGGAGTTATCAGAAGGTCGGATATTCTTTGCAACTTATTCTTCAAGTAAAAGTTATTTATTAAATGTGTAACTGAGAAAGACTTGCAGTAGCCCACCTCCCACCCCCCCAAAATTGAGTCTTCCAGGCCTTCATCATTTTAAACTCATGTCTCCTAATTTCTTAACTATCTTGGCAAACTTTCTTTATTTAGATTTTTTTAAGGTTTCCCCCAACCACTGAGTCAGGGGAATGAAATGAGCTAAATGGTGGTGCAGGTGCAATGTGCCCTGAGCGGCTTTGTCAGTGTTTCTGGGAGCAATCGTTCGTTTCCTGCTACCTTCCATGAAATCAGTTTGCTCACTATGTGTTCACTGGTTTCCTTGGGAGAATTTGTGTGTGCATATGTACTTTCTCGGTTCACAGCGTCTTCCAGGTAACCTAGCTGCCCTTCGCTCAGCACGTCATTACTTCAGAAAGAACAGTGGTGCATGAAAACAAAGTTCTTACAAAATTAATCTCTATTTTAAAAATATTATAACTCACCCACAAATATGCTTCTCCCCAGAGGCTGTGAAGAGGACTGTGAAAGAATTAAGAATTTCCTTAGACGGAACAAGGATCTTCTCTTCAGCACACAGGTAGAAGCCGGCAGTCAGATCTAGCAAAGGTTTGGAGCCCGCTTTCATTTTGAGCGAGAAAGTTCAAAACATTTAATGATTTTTTAAAAGATGATTGTCAGGGTTGGGAGATGGTTCGGTAGATATAAACACTTGCAGCACAAATACCAGGATCTGAGTTCAAACCCCAGCATCCAGGTTACAAGACAGCTGAGCGTGTCTAAGTGCAACTCTGTACCGTCAGCCTGACTAAGGTGGAGACCAGAGGACGTCTTTGGTTCCCCATAGGCCAGCCCAGCTCCAAGTTCAGTGAAAGACCCTGTCTCAAGAAGGCAAGGTGGGGATGGACAGAGCAGGACACCTAACATTCTCCTAATAACCCTGCATGCCAATGTGCTGCGCACACATACGCACATACACTCACACATGCACATGCACACTCACACAATAAACATGCACATGCATGAACACACACAAGTAAACAGATACAATTTAAAAATAAAACAATGATGGTTGTTAGATTTACCGTCTCCTTTGAGGAAGAGCTCTAAAAATGCAGCCCACGTTTCAGGGGATGGAAGGTTGGGGTTGTCTCTGTAGTAGTGGAACAGGGACACGGCTGTATCCTTCGGATTCCTGATGACGTAGACAATCTGTTGAAACATGCAAATCCCTTATTCTAGGATGAAAATAATCACACACACACAGTATCTCCCAAAAGAGTTGTGACTAAAATTTACCTGTGCAAATTATATCTTTTATTTTTTTAATAGCTGCAGACTCAACACTCCTAGGTTTCTGTCACTGTGTGTACAGAATCCAGTGTGCGCAGTAAGAGTCATCACTGACAAAAGTCAGTGTACAGATTTGGATTCCAGAGGTTCTAGAATTGACCTGGATTTCTGTGTTTTTCACCATCTCCCAGCAGACATGGTACTCACAGCCTGTGGACAGCTTTCTAAATCTATTGACTAAGTGTGGTCCTGTCTTTCAGGGCCAGGGATGGGAAAATCCCTATTTATTGTCAGGCAAAATTACTCTTTGCTTGTCTATATGTTAGAAAACACTTACATGTGCTGTTATTTTATAGGAAAAACTATAGTTTAGACCTTCCCTTTTTGACAATTGAATTTTTTGCCCAGTAGAACATCTAAGATTCCCTCCCAGTGTCTAGGAACACTGTAACTATAATTCAGCCCATAAACATGTATTCAGTGTGTGCTGAATGCCAGGCAATATGCAATGATCCAGTTCCAACAGTAAGCAAGATGGAAGAGTGATTTGCGACCTCTCTCAGTGTATAGTCAGCTGAGGGAAAAGACAATGACATGTGCTCTTGACAATGGAGCAGGTAGGAGTTCTAAGACAGGATTACAAAAGGAACAAGTGAGAAGCCCCCAGAAAACATCAGAAGCTGGATAATGGAGCATCTCTGATCATAGCCAACATTGCAGAAGTTGAGGAAGAGATGTTCTTGTGTTTTTAATTGACAACCGGGGCAGTCACAATTTGCCTAGATAAGACAGAATTTGCTGAGTCATTTTTAATACACTGCTATCTTCCAGTAGCGTGTTCATAGTCCAAATACTGTGTGGCTCACATGAATAGTGAGTGCCTGGTTCCCCATTAATTGAGAGATGTGTAAAGGTCAATATGTGCAGGAATAAAGAACCACCTTTACCCAGCCCCACCCAAGATCCTCTCTAGCTTTCATAACACAAAGCAACCTCCCAGGCCTTGACCTTCTCTCACTGTGCCAGGCTTCCAGAAACCCAAAGATTGGCAAACTCACTTCTAAAAAGACAAAATGGGGTAAAGTAGCAAAGATTTAAGCCTCCATTGATCAGTCAAAAATAGTTGTTTGGACAGAGAAGCAAGCTTTTGGAGAAGCCCTGCTGTTATATGTCCATGATATCTACTCACGAGAATAATGAAATGCATTGTTGTAGATATAAGAGTCAACAGAGAAACCTGAAGAATTACCAGAGAAAGTTAGGGAGTGGAAAGGAAAGAGAGTGTGATACTCTATGAGAGGCAGGGAAAGGGTTATTAGCCAAAGCATCATGAGGGGCTAGAGAGATGGCTTAGTGGTCCTTGCTGTTCTTCCAGATGAGTTGAGTTCAGTTCCCAGCACCCACATTGGGCAGCTCACAACCACCTGTCATCCAGATCCAGAGGAATCCAATGCCGTAGGTGTCCATGGACACCTCTACTCATATGCACATGCTCTCTCTCTCTCCCTCTTCCTCTCCCCCATCTTTTTCTCTCACACACAAATCATAATAAAATCATGATTAAGTATCATAAAATGAGTTACAAAATATGAATTTCATGCCAGGGATTTTCCTAACAAAAAGGGAAGAAGGAAAAAAACAATTAAGAAGAAAATAATGCAACTATAACTCCCTGATGGCCTCTTCTGCCTTTCCACCACACACCCCAGCTACACATGTGGTGCACAGACATACATGCAAGTAAAACACCTATACACATAAAGTATTTTTATCTGAAAAAAGAAAAGTCAAAGTGAAAAGTTTTAGGGGACATTTAGAGGGAAGTCAGCCCTGCACAGGCAGGGGAAGCTTGACCTACTCTCAGGCCTTCAGGACCAATCTACAAGCCCATCCAAGGAGGACCAATAGCCTGCATCCCATCCATGGAGACCAATAGTCTACATCTCACATGGAGGACCAATAACCTATATCCCATCAATGGAGGGAGAATAGCCTATAAGTCCATCCATGGAGGGCCAATAGTCTACATCCCATCCATGGAGGGCCAATAGTCTACATCCCATCCATGGAGACCAATAGTCTACGTCCCATCCATGGAGACCAATAGTCTACCTCCCATCCATGGAGACCAATAGTCTACGTCCCATCCATGGAGACCAATAGTCTACATCCCATCCATTGAGGCCAATACTGAATTATATGCAGCATTGCATCAAGTTCTGATAGGAACAAGATATTCAACTTGTGTTTCAATGGACGGGCAGATAAGGGAGTATTTGCTGAGTCACTAATTTTATCCTAACTTCTGGAGATCAGAAGGGAGTTACCATGGCCTTGGTTCTCCTTAGGGCCATTAAGGAAGGGTTGTGCCTTAAGGCTGAACCTTCAGTGTGGAGATTAAGAAGCACTTATCTGAGCTTCAGGTTCTTTACTCGTAAGTGGCCTATGACCTACATGTGCCATGTGCATGGGACAAACACAAAACCTCCCAGTTTAAGAATGCCATTAGTTACTGTAGTTAGTTCTTCCCTCCATCCCCCCTCCTCTCTCACAAGGAGCTTGTGTGTATCTCTTCTACCCTTCCTCCTTCTTTCTATCTCCCTCCCTCCCCTTATCCTCCCCCTTCTCTCCTCTGTCTCCAACGTTGCTGCCCCCATGTCTCCTCCCTTCCTTTCTGGGTTTGCATTTAATCCAGACATGAAGGATGAGAGTGTCTAACTGCCTTTCTGTTTGCCTCCCTCTCCCTCTCTCTGTCTCAGAAAGGAAAATTGTTCACTAGGTTTTGAAAATGTAATTGAGTTAAGCTTCCCTTGCTCTGACAGACAGACAGACAACTTCCCCTGTTCTGACAGACAGACAGACAGACAGACAACTTCCTCTGTTCTGACAGAAAGACAGCTTCTCCTGTTCTGACAGACAGGCAGCTTCCCCTGTTCTGACAGACAGGCAGCTTCCCCTGTTCTGACAGACAGACAGCTTCCCTTGTTCTGACATTCTGACCCTGCTTGGTTGTGTTTGTGTAGGAGTCGGAGCATGCAGAGCTGCAGTCACAGTTGAAGGAGAATCTTCTGTGCCTTCCGGTGTGACAGGCGCCTTGTTTTGTGTGGTTAGAAAATGACTGACATGGTTGGGGGAGGCTTCATTTCTGGCGATCCCATATGTGTCTTATCTCTGATTCCCAAACATTATTCTTATGTTTTATTTCCGATCAAAATGTTCCTTATGCACATATTTGTAAAAAGATTAAATTGAATGTTAATGCCATACACTAGAAATTTACTTTACGTGTTGAGCTATTGGCATTTAGTGTTTTTCCCCCCTGTGTAGATATGTTTTAACCAAATTGAGAATATTTGTTATACTATACCTAAGAGCATGGTTTCTTCATCATTTTATCATACAAAACTCCCTCCATGAAAATGTAAATAGAAAAAGAAAACGGTGAAAATGGAAAATATTCTTGTAAATTATAATTGGCTTTTAAAAATAATAACCTATGAGTTAATAATACTGGCTTGAGGAAACTGTCCTTTAGCATTTCTTGTTATAAAACTTGTTTCCTAGAAAAAAATAAAAGAATTAAATGTAAATGGCACTTGCTTTGCTGCCATCAAGCCCCCACGACAAGGCAAGAACCCAAGAACCGTAGCTGGGGCTGCAGAGACTGGCTGCTCTTGCAGAGACCTCAGGTTCTGTTCCCAGGACCTGCATGGTGACTCACAACTGTCTGTGACTCCAGGTCTAGGAGATCCGAGGCTGTCTTTGTGTCTCCAAAGTCACTGCATGCACATGGTACACACACACCCGAAGGCGCTCACACATACGCATCAATGAAAATGAATCTTTGGGGGGAAGCTCATCGTTTCCAAAGCCGCACGCTGAGAGCAGGACTCACCTTACACTGCTTCTGTTTAACAGCCCCAGGAATCATCTCGTAGCTCAGATGAGTCGGGATGACTCTTCTCTTCGGGACCATCTTTAGCTCTTCAAACTTAGAGACATCTCCCCACTCGATAGGAGATGTGAGGGTAATTCCAACATTGGGAATGTTCTCTATGACTTCTGCTACCCAGTGGGTTCCTTCACACAAACAGAATATGAAGTGCAGCTTTAATTAAATGTCTCAGCTGAAGAAATGGATGTAGAAGGTGAGCAAGTTAAGCAGGGAAAGCTATGATTCTAATCAGCAGTCGTGACTATGATGCCCCCGAAACCTGATGAGATGCCAACTTGTTTTAAGTAGAATTCTGTTACAAGAGTGAAAAGGTTTGCAAGGGGTGCTTGCTGATTCCCTGGCAAAAGACAAGTTGTTTTTACTCATTTCTAGACTCTTCAAAGTACCAACTAATGTGATTCCATGTTCCATGAGCCCTTCAGCCTTCTCTTACAGACTATGTTCTACCTTCCCCCACCACATACACAAGAAGTTGTCTCCACTTTCTGTCTCCCCACGGTACGCTTCCTCTGTTAGAATAAACAGCAGAATACAGTTGCTACAGTGTGTGTGTGTGTGTGTGTGTGTTCACCTCCCCATTTACCCCTTGAAGATATATACAAACCTCTGCGTGTGCATAGAACAGCATTTATGCAGACCAAGTATTTGGATCATAAATGTTTGTTACACTCAGAGAGCTACTAAAAGTTTGCTACCCTAGAATCTTGGAAAAACACATGAGCTCTGCTTGGTTTTTGTTTTTGATTTTTGCTTGTTTGTTTTTGAAGGGATGGTGGTGATGCTGATGACGTTGTTTTAAGTTGTACTCGTTATCACTGTATTTGCATATGATGTCACAGAACGCACACGAAGGTCAGAGGACAACTTGTAGAGTTGGTTCTGTCTTCCACTTTGTGCCTGGATGGATTCAGATTACCAGGTTTGCACAACAAGGGTTTCACCCATGGAACAATCCCAATAGACCTACGCTTTTGTTTTTAATGCAGAGGTTGAGCTCAGTGCTTCCTCCATGCTCCACAAGTGCTCTTCCCTTCTACTGGACTCCCCATACCCACGTGCCCAGCCTGGAACAGAACTCTACACTTCGGGGAAGATAATGATTTTGCAGCAGGGAAATGAAGGCTAGCAGGGGGAGTGGTGGCATTTGCTAATTTGAAGACTGCACCCCTATGGAGATTAAATCAGGCTGGTGCTAGTGTCCTTAACTTCATTGTGACTTCAGTGAGGTGCAATAGGCACACCCTTATGGCTGAGTAAATATTCAGAGACTAGCACTCTGATTTGCTTTATATTAAGTGTACTTTAGAAAGTCTTTTATTATTATTATTTTTTTCTTAGCCCTATTCATTTTGCAAGTGTGAATGTTGTACTTGCAGGTATGTGTGTGAGTCAGTCGTGTGAGTGCCTGGTGTCTGCAGAGGTCAGAAGAGGGCATCAGAATCCCCAGAACCAGAGTTAAGAGGTGAGTCTCTGTGTGTGTGTGCGTGTGGTCTCTAAAGACCTCTCACCCATGTGTACTTTGCTGCTTCCCACAGTGAGAACCTCCTGGTTTAATTGGGGACTGCAGTGCACACCCGACTCAAAGGCAGTTTGTCTGCTCGCTGTTGAACTGGTTACTGGGTAGCTGCCATCTCCATGTGACCACTACTATGGAATTAGCAGCAGGCAATTGGACATTACATAGAAAGACAAAATTAGCACAGAACCAATTCTGGTGACTAATGCTGGTGTGTATACAACTGCTCAGGAACCAGTTCTGAAGGAAACGTTTTAGCCAGGAAAGGACGGCTCTTAGGGCAGATGCAAATGTTCCAGACCCATAGGCACGAACTGAACAGAGGCTGTTTACTCATCACAGAGACCGGAGCAAGGCACGGTGGGAATTTGTGTGCGCTGCTTTTCTTATTGCATATGATTTATCAACACTTCCGTTTCTTCACGAAGTGAATAAAAAAGAAAACTGTACAGAGCTTTAATTATTTCACCTGAATCTTTCTGAAGTTCAAAAAATTAAATCCTAAAAGATCATGTTCCCCTTTTCAAATAAAATTTCTGATAAATAAAGTTATTTTGAAAATGATTGTTCTGTTTGTTATTGTTACATCTTTGCATCTTACAGTACACTTAAGAAAAAAAAACTCACCAGATTTTGGGTAGGAAACCAGAAATATGTCATCTTCTCTCGCATCAAAAGAATCCAAGGAATCGAGGAGCCCTTCCGAAGACATGGTAGAGAAGAGGATGCCCTTGTACTTGTGAAGGAGGCCCGACTGACTCTGGGATGACATCGTCCACCTGATCTACTCAAGGCTGAGTCCCTACACAAGCCGCAGACAGCCCTGGACCTCAGCCACAACCCCAGCAAGTGGTAGAGCAATCTCCGTATCTAAGCTGACATTCCATGTGTCTATATATACCTTCTGCAATTCTTCACAAGAATAATTTTTAAACCATCACTGAGCCAAAGTCTATTATAAAAATGGTGTTATCTGGATTTTTTCTGATAACAGAGGTTACAAAACGTTTTCTTCCACTGAGTTCAGGTTCGTGTGCACAGAATACTACTAGTCAACCAAGAGTAATCACTGTTAAGATAATACTGCTAATAAAATCCTTTGGTCTAAATAGGTAAAGTCTTTTAGTCACTACAATGAATTATATCACTGAAGAAATGTTTAAAAATTAGATTCCTACAGTTTGAGGGGGAAGGGGACAGAGACATGGGAAACAAGAGTGTTTCCAGGACTTGGCAGATACACTTTCAACAAACTTTTCTGAGATACAGTTTTGAAGAGATACAATGAGAGTCGTAATACCGTGGTAGGAAGAGATCTCTCGAGGACAACGCAAACAGGAGGCTGGAGAGAGAAGAATGAACTCTTCGTTCAGTCACTTTTAGTCTTTGATAATAATATTCCAATATCCCAGATTCCGTCAGATGCAGTAATGAAATGTTCAATCATTTCAGTGAACCATAACAGAAACTTTGGCTTGCCTAACAATAGAAGGGCCAATATACATTAATGAAGAAATGAACAAACTTTTAATTGAGTATCAAAAAATAGAGATAAACTAAAGGAGAAATATTTGAAGGAGAAAGATGCCTATGGCAGCAACAGAAATGAAAGATCATACGTGCAGGCAATAGCAAAGAATTCACTAATAGGATAAACACATGAACTGAGAACAGTCACTGGGTTGTGAGGTCAGTACATGACATGAACTGGACACCTGTCCTCTGAGAGACAGCAACAGGAAGCGGAGCTTGATAGTGGGGCTGTAGCTCAGGCGGTACAGTTGCCTAACACGTGTGAAGCCTAGGAATGGATGCTCAACAACATAGCAACAGCACATGATGGTGGAGGCCTGTAATGCCAACACCCAGCGCATGGTGGTTGAGGCCTGTAATGCCAACACCCAGCAGGGGTAGCTTGGAGGACTGGAAATTCAACGTCCTTTTAAAAAATAAAATTATTGTTAGGATTAGGTTTTTAATAGTTAATTTTTGCATCCCTCCATCCCCATTGGTTCTCTTTTAAACTATTTACTTTTACTTCATTAAAATAAAAATTACCTCATTTCTGTCCTCCTCCCCCTCCCCTGCCCCTTTCAAGCCCCCTCCCTAATTCACACCCTCCTCATTTTTGTTGTTACCTATACATATAAATGAATAGCTACATAAATGAATAACTCAGCAGTGCCTGCATGTATATACTTATAGGGATGACCATTCGGTATTAGACAATCAATCAATGGTGCTCACCCCTGGGAAATGCTGATTTCCCCTCTCTCAGCAGCTGTCAATCACTCACAGCTCTTTACCTAGGGATAGAGCTCATGAGATTCCCATCATCTCCACTAGGGTATCGCTGATGCTGGAATTGTTCAGGTCCTGTTTAGGCAGCCATGCTGTTGAGATTTCACGGGTATAGTTTCCCTAGAAGGTACACTCTCACAGCAGACTTCCTGGTCCTCTGGCTCTTACAATTTTCTGCCCTCTATTTCTTGATGGTCCCTGAGCCTTGGGTGCAGGAACTGTGTTGCAGATGTACTCACGGGTGCTGGGCATCCCGTGGTGAGTTGTTCTCTGTATTTTGACCAGCTGGGGTTTTCTGTGATGGTCATTGTCTGCTATGAACAGAAGTTCCTTGATGAGGGGTGAGAGCTACACGCATCCATGAATATAAAGACAAGTATTTAGAACGTAGTCAGAAATTATGCTAGTCTGTAGTAAGTCGTAGGTGGAGGGTCTCTGTTAAGACCCATGACCTCACAAGCCCTATACTTCCCAGTGCTGCACATGGTTTCCCTCCTGTTGAATGGGCTTCAAGTCCAAATAGAAAGCTGTTGGTTATCGCCAAGAGATAAGCGTTGCTGTGGAAACAGGGATATCTTGCCACGCTGGTCATCATTGTCCTACTCACTACGACTAGGTTGGACTATTGACCACTTCCTCCCTTGGCAACTTGCATATCAATTTCTAATACCACGAAAGCCAGTCCTTAGGGAGAGGCTTTCCCGTCAATTCCAGCTAAAATCCCCTGAGTCCTATGTTCAAAGCACATGGAGTCTTTAGCAACAGGGTCTCACCTTCAGCTTCTCGGAGACAAACAAGGACAATAACACTAGCTTTTGGGGAGTCTCTTGTACAACCCTCATCAACAACTCAAAGGGAGGCTTCTCATGCCTGGTACTGGGGTTTCTGTTAGTTTATGACTCTTTGGGGGGGGGATACTGTCACCTCAAGTTATGTAACTTAATTTAACATATATAATGCATATATTTAAAATTGGTGCTATATGTAATTCCAGGATTCTCTATGTCATTTTCAAGCACCATTAAAGTAATTTATGCCTTCTTCCTCTGATGTGGGAGTAATTTCTTATTAATAAAGAAACTGCCTAGGCCCCTTCATAGGCCAACCCTTAGGTGGGTGGAGTAAACAGAAGAGAGAGAAAGAAGCTGAATCAGGAGTCGCCATGATTCTCCCACTCCAGAGAGAGGCAGGTTAAGATCCTCCCTGGTAAGCCACCTCATGGGCTACACAGAATATTAGAAATGGGTTAGAACAATATGTAAGAGCCAGCCAATAAGAGGCTACAGATAACGGGCCAGGCAGTGTTTAAAAAAATACAGTTTCCGTGTAATTATTTCTGGGCATAAGCTAGCCATGCGGGCGGCCGGGTGCCGGGGACGCAGCCCTGCCGCTCCTAATTCAACAATCCTCCTTCCTACTTCCCCAACTAAGACCCTTCCTTGATTTCCCCTTCCCCTTCCATATCACCTGTATCCCTGCTATCCCACTCTCTAGAGCTCCCCTGCATCCCCAGTCCTCGTCCTTTACTCTGGGTTACTGCAGTTACTCCATATTTACTTACACCTGGAGATTTGGAGTTAGAAACCACAGACGAGAGAGAGAGACCATGCTTGTCATTCTGAACCTGGGTTACCTTACTCAGTATACAATCTTTCTCGTCATTCTTGGCTACATAGGAAGTTCAAAGTCAGCCTGGCTTACATGAGCTCTTGTGTCAAAAGGGGGAAAAAGGATTTGAGAAAGGATTTCGAAACCAATACTATTTATGATGATATGGAAAAATCATGTCGAAGTATTAGTCCAAGTGAGTTCCAAGCAAAGGAAAGAGAACAGAAAACATTCCAGAGATCATTAGTGAGTGCCTATATAGAAATCATAGAAATAAATCACAGAGCAGATGACTCAGGATTATTATAAAGTCTAAACTCTTTATGATTTATAAAATCAATACTGTTGGATCAAAATCCAAACAGGCAATCACACTTCTCTATCTGTTCATGAATGAATGACAGTTGGCAACATCTATGTAGACACAAAAAGGTCCTAGAATCGCCAAATAACTCTTAGAGGGGAAAAGCTCTTAGGGCTTCAGAGATTTTAAGGGGTGCCAAAAGCAGGAGTAGTTAAGGATTATGTAAACTGAACCTAACACTACACGGATAGACCAATGGAATTGAAGAAAGAGTCCAGAAAATGGTACGCACATACATGGTCACTTGATTCAAGGCAAAGGAGAATTTGAGTAAGCAGAGGAATTCTTTTCAATGAATGGTACTCATTCTTGGGAGTGACATGAATCCCACCTTATACTACATATAGATAAATGTTTGAAATAAAACTCTTCTAGAGGAAAACAGGATATCTTCAGAATCTTGAGTAATGCAAAGACTACTTCAAAGAGATAGATAAAAGTACTCACTGTTAGAGTATTAAAATTGGACTCCACAGGTTAGGAAGTCATGTTGGCTTAAGTCATCATTAAGGGAATAAACAGCAAGACACAGACTGCCAGAAAATATTGAAACTCATATATTAAACTTTGTGCTCTTTAGACGGGCTTTAAAAAAAACCTACTAAGATCAAGAGTTTTTTTTTTTTTAAATCAAACAACTCAAGAATGAGAGGAGAGCTGAATGTGTCTTTGAAAAGGGTTCAGTATTTGTACTCATGAAGTAATAGGAAAGCAACACTAACAGTATCAACAGGGTCTGTTTTCAGAACCAAGGACCTGGTGGACCTACTGGTAGTCGAGAGTGAGCAGTCTTTAAAAAATAACGTGAATAAACAAACATTTAGGATGAATTTCTACAACTTGCCCTAATGGTAGATGGCAGCCAAAAAATGTTTATTCCAGAAAATCTATGAAAGGGGAAGGACAATGAGCTGCTGCTCTTTTCAGAGCCCCTCCCTGCCCCCCTCAACAAGGACACTCCATCACAGATAAGAAGGTCAAAACACAAGGACTTCTGGGAAGACAGTCCCCTCCATTCTCAGTTCCTCTGACCACTGAGGTGGCCTCTTCCCAAGTATGTGAGCTGACAGCTGAGGCTGACTTTGACAGGAACTTGGGGGGAGTCTTGGCCCCGCAGATAGTATATAAACTCTCACTAAGAATAAAACAGGGCCAGGAGAACATTAATTAATCAGACTGAGCCTGTGTTGTGAGCACTGGATTCTCGAGGGAGGACTCAATCCTCAGCCAGAGGTCACATAACCCGATACCTGTAGGAAACGGTCTGAGATACAGTTAAGTGAAAGACATCAAGGGCAAGATAGATGTGAAAACCTTTCATAATCAACATTTAGAAAAACCACCTTCACTCTTGTTGGTCTGCTTTTGGCTGTTCTGACAAATGCCTGAGACAAGAGTTGATTTGGATCAGGTTTTCATAGGTTTCCTACATGGCCACTGGGCCCTGTTGCTTTAGCCTTGTGGAGTCATAAGGAATCATGAGAGGAATGTGCACTGGA